GGACTGCAGCAAGGGGGTGGACAGGGCTTTTCCCACTAAACCCCATCACCACTAGGGAGCTCAGGATCTCTTTTGGGTTAAAACACCAGGCGCCCAGGCACACCTGTGAGTGTGACCTGCTCCCCAGTAACCCGGGGAGGAAAAAGGGGGTTACATTTTGGAGACACCGCTAGCATCCCCTTTACCACCTCTAATTTTTACTGCAAGAAAAATTGTCCCTGCTTTCTTTACTGGTGTTGGAGTTATGGTTGTTTTCTGAGATCTGCTGGTATTTAAAACCTTGGTTTGTGTTACTAAATCTGTTATTGGGTACATCATGGAAGCCCTTAAGTTACTATCCTGGTGTAGTGATGTAGGAGTGCCACCCAGCCGAGCGCTTATTCTGGGTAAAGTGCCTATAGACACTGAGCATGCTATTATCTACCAGGCATTAGGAACTGTAAAAATCTTTGGTAAAACCACAATCTATGGCCGCCGAGGTGACTCTAACACCCAGACTGTGTCAGTACTGGTGAGAGCAGCTGCTGATCTTGACCCACAGTGTGTACCCCCGGAAGCTGGTATTGTGGGTGTGTACCCCCTGACCTGTGTTTCTGCCTGGGAATGTCCCAGAGGAGGAGACCACTGAAGCTGTGAGCTCTGACTTTGAAGCTAAATTGAATGTTTTTCTGCAAAAAGAGGGAAAGTCAGTGGAAGATGTGAGGACCATTGTTACTCCAGCATCTATGCCCTCAGCTGTCACAAATGAAGGTCTGATAGCTGCTTTAGGAAAAATGATGGAACGATATACCCCTCCCTCCTATGAAAGAGTTGGATATCGGAAGCTGAGATTTTTCTCTGGGATTCAGCCTACCCCTGTTGGAGAGGATGACTTTGAATCTTGGATGGACCAAGCTGTCCAGATGATGGAGGAAGGCAGTGCTCAGATACTATGAAACGGCAACGATTAGGTGAAAGTCTGAGAGGACCAGCGTCTGATGTCATTAGATCCTTACGGACGAGTAAACCCTCTGCTGGTGCTATGGAGTATCTCCATGCTTTGGATGATATTTATGGGACTACTGAGAGTGAAGAAGATTTGTATCTGCGTTTTCGCACCACCTATCAAGAAGAGGGTGAGAAACTGTCACAGTATGTATGCCGTCTAGAGAAGCTCCTACATAAGGTACTGGTAAAGAAGGGGATACTTGCCAGCCGCTTGGATCAGGTGAGAATGGAACAAATACTGAAAGGTGCTTGTTCTGGCAACCTAATAGAAGCTGCAGCTTTCTGACTCACGCCAAAATCCTCCCTCCTTCTCCAAACTGGTACGGGATATCAGGGAAGAGGAGGATCGACTGGTTGCTCGTGAAGCTCGTCACATTCCCATGGCTTCAGCATGCACTGTCACCTCTGTTGCTCCTTCTAGCGCAATAGCTGATCTCAAGGAAGCTCTGTGGAGTCTGACTGAGCAAGTTAATCAGCTACTTCAGCTGAATACTAGAGTGGAAAAGCCTGAAAGACCTTCTCATGTCCAACGGGGGAGTGCCCCTGTGAGAAGCCATGACGCAGTGTCTGGTGCTACTACTCAAAAATCAAGAGTTTCTGTTGAAACAAAGGGTAGGAGTGACATCATCTGCTACAAGTGTGGGGAGAATGGTCACACGAAACGAGACTGTGTTGCAGAAGAGGATGTATGGAAAGTTAACCGCAAGCTCATCCAAGCAAGCAAGAATTTGGGAAACTTCAGAGAAGCCCAGTGAAGGAGCGAACTGGTGCTTCGAGGAAGATAAGCTCCACTAAGTGCTACCAACAGGGTGCAAATACCTGTAACGATTTGCCCCGTGGATTGGTAGGCCCAGCTCCGGTTGTGCCTGTTGAAATAGAAGGCATTTATACTCATGCTCTCCTGGACAGTGGTTCACAAGTCACCATTTTGTACAAGACATTTTACAATACCTACCTTCGCCATTTGCCTATTCACCCCTTGGACAATTTGGAAATCTGGGGGTTGAGTAATCAAAAATACCCATAGGAGGGGTACTTATCCCTTCAAATTGAGTTCCCACCATCCATCATGGGAGTTCCTGAGAAGCTGGATAGTTCTAGTGTGCCCGGATCCTTGTGTTAAAAGTAATGTTGCAGTATTGGTTGGCACCAATAGTAGTCTGGTCCAGCGATTTTTTTTAAACTATGCAAAGACACTGTTGGGGAAGGATGCATCAGTACCTTGCCTATTCACCCTAAGATCCAGGAGGCCTATACAGGTTTCCACAGAAAGTCTCTCTCTGTTTCTGATAAGGATTCTACCAGGTATGGCAATGTATGGTACACACAGAAAAGAACATTACACATACCACCTGACAGTGCCTGTCAAGTCACCGGTATCCCAAAGTTTTCTATTCAGCCTACAGATAAATTGTTATTAGTGGATACATCGGAAGAAGTGACTACACCTGGAGGATTTATGGTACGACCTGAGGTGCAAGCCACTAGAGTTGTGTCTTCTAGGAGAGTCACAGTTACTGTTAGAAATGTATCTGCTCAATAGGTGATCATTCGACGTGGGACAAGAATTGCTCAATTGTTCCCAGTTCATGTAGAACCTCGGATGCATGCAGTAGCTGTCAAGAACAACACTAAGGACTTGACAACAGATTGCTTTGATTTTGGAGATGCCCCTATTCCTGAGGAATGGAAACAGCGTCTCTGCAAGAAAATGTTAGAGCATGCTGATGTTTTCTCCCAACATAAATGGGATGTGGGCTGTGCAAAAAGTACTTAGCATGAGATCCATCTAAATGACTCTCGACCTTTTCGAGAACGATCTCGTCGCCTGGCTCCATCTGATATGGAAGATGTTCAGCGCCACATACATGATTTGATGGCTACTGGAATAATTTCTGAGTCACGAAGCCCATATGCTTCTCCAATTGTCGTGGTGAGAAAGAAAAATGGGTCTGTCAGAATGTGTGTAGACTATAGAACTCTCAATAAACGCACTGTCCCTGACCAATATACAATGCCGCGGAATGAGGATGTCCTTAACGGCTTACATGGGAGTAAGTGGTTTACTGTATTAGACCTTTGCAGTGGTTTTTACCAAATACCCATGAATAAGGCGGATAAAGAGAAAACTGCTTTTATCTGCTCACTTGGATTTTATCAGTTTGAGAGAATGCCCCAAGGCATTTGTGGAGCTCCCGCCACCTTTCAAAGATTAATGGAGCGAACAGTTGGGGACATGAAGCTCATGGAAGTTCTGATTTACTTGGATGACCTAATTGTTTTTGGGCGAACTCTTGAAGAACCTGAAGAGCGGCTGCTTAAAATCCTTAACATATTCGTTTGAAAGAAGAAGGCTTGAAACTATCCTTGGATAAGTGTAAATTCTGCCGCCCTTCAGTCTCTTATGTGGGACACATAGTGTCAGAGCAAGGTATTGCCACGGACCCATCAAAAATTGAGGCTGTTTCCAGTTGGCCCAGGCCTCAGAATTTAACTGCCCTATGTTTATTTTTGGGATTCTGTGGCTATTAAAGGCGTTTTGTGAAGGGATACTCCAGATTGACAAGACCACTAAATGAGTTGTTGCAAGGCTACCCTCCACCACCTCACAAAAATGGCTCGAGACCTAAAGATATTCCAACAGATAACACCTATTTCCAACCTTCTGAGCCCTTTGGGGACCGATGGAATGAACACTGTGAAGAGGCTTTTCAGAATATTAAGGAATGCTTCTCCAAAGCTCCTGTATTAGCATTTGCTGATCCTCAAAAGCCGTATGTTCTGCATGTGGATGCCAGTATGGATGGCTTAGGAGGGGTATTATATCAAGAATACCCTGAGGGATTGAGGCCAGTAGCTTTCATCAGTCAAAGTTTGTCACCCTCTGAAAGAAACTACCCTGTGCACAGACTTGAATTTCTGGCTTTAAAATGGGCTGTAGTAGATAAGTTGCATGATAATCTGTATGGAGCACGATTTGAGGTTCGCATGGATAACAATCCATTAACATATATTTTGACATCAGCCAAATTGGATGCTACAGGTCACCGGTGGTTAGCAGCATTGTCCACATACAACTTCAGCCTAAAGTACCGCCCAGGAAGCAAGAACATAGATGCTGATGCATTATCTAGATGAGCACATAGTATCTCAGCTCCTGAAGATGAGTGGGAAGAGGTATCTGCCCCTGGGGTTCGAGCTTTGTGTCAAGTCTCTACAGTTTATGGGAAGCCGACTAACATGCCACCTGCTCGCTTTGTAGATCTTGTGGTTGTGTCAGCCCATACTGTTCCTCAAGCATACTGCAAAGATGCTTCTTTGGATACTCCCCATCTTCCCCATTTGACTCGTTCTGAACTTCAGGCTGCACAACAGAATGATGCCTTTATTGGAGAGATCTGGTTGGCAGTTGATAAGGGGAATCCAGCTGCCGTGAATAGGATCACACACCCTAATATTCCACTCCTAATGAGGGAATGGGATCGACTTCCTCTGGACGATGGCCTTTTGTATAGAATCACTAAACAGCCCAGGCAATACACAAAGCAACAACTGGTTTCATCTAAATGATTTCACAAAACTGTACTACAGTCCTAACATGATGACCATGGACACCTCGGGTTTGATTAAGTAAAGATTGTTTATTTTAAAGTGTTCTATTACATGTCTATGATTTGTAGTTGTTCTGGAATTAGATCCATCTTTATGTTGGAATGAGTATGTTCCTGGAGGCTCTCAAGGCACCAGTGTGTGTACAAGGCCAGCCAGGTGGAGGCACCACCACTTTACATTCATTGCCAGCAAGGGACTGCAGCAAGGGAGTGGATAAGGCTTTCCCCAACTAAACCCCATCACCACTGGGGAGCTCAGGATCTCTTTTGGGTTAAGACATCAGGCACCCAGGCACACCTGTGAGTGTGACCTGCTCCCCAGTAACCCGGAGAGGAAAAAGGAGGTTACAATAGTAGGACAGTTCTGAATGAAATCACAGTCAAGGAGCGATGATGCATATTTTAGTTTTTGGAGAATAAAATGGACACAATCAGTTTCTTTAAGGCAGCTTTGAGCTCCTTGTTCCTCAGGCTGTAGATGACCGGATTCAGCATGGGAGGCACCACGGCATAGAGAACACCCACCAGGAGATCTAGATTTGATGCTGAGCTGGAGGTGGGTTTCAGGTGCTCAAATAAGGCAGTGGAAAGAAACAAAGAGACCACAGCGAGGTGGGGGAGGCAGGTGGAGAAGGCTTTGTGCCGACCCTGCTCCGAGGGGATTCTCAGCACCGCTCTGAAGATCTGCACATACGACACCATGATAAAAGCAAAGCAATTCAACACTAAAAAGGCACTGACGGCAAGAAGCCCAAGTTCACTGTGATAGGAGTCAGAGCAGGCCAGCTTGAGGAGCTGGTGGATTTCACAGAAGAATTGGTTGAGGACATTGGATTGGCAGAAGGGTAACCTGAAGGTGCTCTCAGTGTGCAGGGCAGAGTAGACCATACCAGTGATCCAGGCACTTGTGGCCATGTGGACACAAGCTCTCCCGTTCATCACTCTCTCATAGTGCAGCGGATGGCAGATGGCGACGTATCGGTCGTAGGCCATGATGGTGAGAAGGGCAAGATCAATTGAACTGAAGACAGCAAAAAGAAAGATTTGGGTGACACAGGCAGGGTACGAAATCACCCTGATATCCAGGAGGGAATTGGTCATGGATTTGGGGACGGTGACGGAGATGGAGCCGAGGTCCAGGATGGACAGGTTCCCCAGGAAGAAGTACATGGGGGTGTGGAGACGGTGGTCGAGGGCAATGGCTGAGATGATGAGAAGATTCCCCATTAGGGCTACCAGATAAATAACCAGAAACACCACAAAGTGCAAAATCTGAAGCTCCCGAACGTCAGAGAACCCCCGGAGCAGGAACTCGGTCACGATGCTTCGGTTGGACATTTTCTTCCTCAGTTCACAGGGTGGTGGCTGTGGAGGGAAGGGCCCAGATGGGTGAGGATTAGAGTGATACATGGAATGGCCCGATTCCCTGTGGAAATCTCTCATGCTATGGGGGTATGTCTAGACTGCATCCTCTGTCGGCAGAGGGATTCACATGAGGCAGGTCAACATTGCAAATGAGGCAGGGATTTAAATATCCCGTGCCTAATTTGCGTTAAAATTGCCCCCGTGTTTTGCTGACTCAGCTCTTCTTCAGGGAAAAGCAGCAGTCTAGAGAGGGATCTGTGGAGAAAGAAAGCCTTTTTCAACAGATCCCTTATGCCTCCTGGAAGAAGAGCTCCTGCTTTTTGTCAGCAAAATGTGGTGGCCATTTTTATGCAAATTAGACATGGGATATTTAAATCCCTGCCTCATTTGCAATGTTGACCTGTCTCATCTGCATCTCTCTGCCGACAGAAGGATGTAGTGTAGACATACCCTGGGTGTCCAGCATGCCCAGCGCCGTCCGAGCTATTCACTAGAGTTGGTGAGTTACCGCATGGGTGTCAATCTGCCTGGCTGTGGAGCTGTGTCCGTTTGCACCATCTGAAGATTGGGATCAGGATGGGGCTGGATAAAATGCCGTGTGAAGAACAGAGCAAAGCTCAATCCCAACGCCGCAGCTGTAGCCAAGACAAATCCCCTCTGGCTACGAGCTGCAGGCTGTGGACACGGGCATGAAACTAAAATGCCTGAAAATGGTGGCATCATGATCCCACTGCAGCACCGCACAGACATCCTGCTGCCTCCTCAGTGATTTATGACCCCAAATGCCATTTCCCACGCCGAGTAACTCTGCCCCCTCTGCTGTGTCATTGCCTAGGCCACGTCCGGCTTGTGCGCACCAGTAGCTTTTGGGAGACGTAGATTCTATTCTTGGCTCTGTCACTCACTGGGGTTATCTTGGGCTTGTCACTTGCCTTCCCGGTGCTTCTGTTTCCCCTGCTCTCCCTTTCTCTGCTTTGTCTGCTGGAACTGCTGGCTGTCTGGCTGACTGTGCTGTGTGTATGTTCCATGCTCCTGTTTGCTGCAGTTGCAATTAGCCGGCACAGGAGAGGGTGTATAATGCTAGAGCCAAATATCTACGTTCTGAACTCATTGACCTACTCTGTGTGTTTCGGCAGTGTTAAGAGAGGCTTTGGCTAGGGGCTTCAATTCATGTTCCCCATCTAGGGCATTTCTCCATTTAATACCAGCGTTGTGGGCTGCCATCTCTGCTCCTTGCCCTGTCTTAATGTTTGATAAGTATCCCTTGGAAAGAAACATTGCACTGATTGCGTAAGAGCACCTGGGATCCAATCTTACGATTATTGGAGAATCCTAATGTGCCCACCTTAGATTCCATCTAACTTGACAGTCTGGGATAATCTGAGATTTTCCATTTCAATTATATCAGAGAAACACTGAGGGCGCATCTAGACTGGCAAGATTTTGCACAAAGGCGGCTGCTTTTGCACAAAAACTTGTCAGCTGTGTACACTGGCCGCTTGAATTTGTGCAAGAGCACTGACTTGGTAATGTACAAAATCAGTGCTTCTTGCGCAAATACTTTCACGCTCCTGCTCGGGAAAAAGCCGTCTTGTGCAAGAATACTTGGTGATTGGGGCTTTCTTGCGCAAAATCGCGTCTTGACTGGCCAATCTAGATGCGCTTTTCCGTTAAATGGATTTCCACAAAATCATGCCAGTCTAGATGCAGCCTGGGGTTTCATCTCAAAATATCTTCTAGGGAAGTCTATTACCAGTGACCTATAGCCCCGTGGATTGGAAAGCTCACAACCTTTGTTTTCCTTAATTTACCTGGGAATGTTTCACTTTCCAGCAATTTACTTTGGGGATGTCTGATTCTTAATGAATGGAAGCAAGTGTTTGCTATTCACAGTGTCTAGGCACAGTAAACTCTTCTCTGGTAGGAGAAAAAGAGCAAACCTCCATGCAGCTGGAAATGAGTCAGTACATTTCTATAAAAAATCACGAAAAGTTCCCTTGTCACTCCCAGTTGCATTCTCTAATCCGCCCAGCACATTCCCACCGAACCAGTTGGACTGAAATAACAGACTTACTGTGCCGGGTGTTGAGGGATGTTTCCCAGCCTGTGTTACACCAGACACTTCACTGCCGGGATTCTGCCCTCACTGCCTGTCTGTGTGAATAACGACTCCGCACTGGGTTGTTCAGCGGCTGGTTCCCTGCCCATCCATTGGATTTTCCAATCTGAGGCCGGCTGAAGGGTTAAACAGGATGGGGGCAGGACGCACCTCCCCCGCAGCTGTGGAACTGCTCCCAGCTTGTTCAGGCTGCAAACGTGGTCACGACGTAGGATGTCCCTGCGCTGGGGCTGAGGAGCTGACCCCGGTCTCCAGGCCTGTGAGCTCGGATCTCACCTCCGGAGCGACCGTCCTGTCGCCCTGCCCTAGAAGAGCTCGACCCTCAGAAGGGGAACACGAGGTGCCCCGGATCTCACACCATGGTAGCATCCCTGGAAGGACCCTGGCTACGCAAAAGGCAGAGCTGAGGAGCCGTGGGAAGGAGACTACGGCACAAGCTGGATTTCATTAACAGAGCCCTGTGAAGACAGCAGCCCCAGAGCTGAGACGCACCAGAGCCCCAGCTGTCCTGGAGCAGCCTGGTCCTTCGTTAACCCCTGTGACAGGGTCGGTCCCACCCCTGGCTGCCGGACCCCAGTTCAGTCCACAATGGGCTGTCTAGTCCACACGCTGCAACACAGGTTTTGCTCGCCCCTGTCAGCGTTTTGTGGGGGGGCTGTCCCTTTGCAAATATGGCTGTCAGGACAGATGCGTCCAGTCAGCCTGGGCTGGGGTACCAGTCCTCCCCAGCTACCCGCTGCCCTCTCTGGCTGCTTGGGGGAAGGGAGCCCCAGTACTCCCTGTTGGAGCGCCTCACTTTCCCTCTCCTCCGACAATGCTGTGTGTCCTTATCAGCATCTCTAACTCTACCCTTATCAGCTGTATCTCCTCTCCACCTCCTTCCTGCTCCTCCTACTCCCCCACAGGGAATTCTCTTAGAGAAGTCCCAGCGCAGCCCAAAGTCAGCTCCGCTGGCCCTTATTTGCTTATTTGAAAGTGGAGGGCAGTGTGGGGGTGGGGCATTGGAGCAACGGGTGGCCTGGGGGTCGGATGACAAGGAGAAGGTCTGTATTAGGGGCAGGAGCTTCTGGCCGTGAGCGGAGTGAGGGCAGGACTTCACGGGTCAGGGGTGGCAAGGGCGGGCACGGCCCAGCTCAGGTGCCAGTGACTCCCCCTTTTTTACGAGAATTCCTTCATGTCTGGTTTAACAGAGAGTTGGTGATACAGTTTCCCATGCCAATAACACAGTTAGGCTGGAAATTCAAAGTTTTTCAGAGTATTTTAAGGCTGTTAGTGCACTAGAAATGAATTTAAAAAACCTCGATTCTGCCCAGACCCTGAAAGAATTTGATGTTCCTAACTCCCATGGGATTGAAACCATTGTTTTGCCTCCTTAGTAATTTTGAGGAAGAGCTAGTACTTCAGAACTGTAGGTGTAATTACAGTAGGCCCAGTTTAATATCAAATCCTTATTGCTAACCCCTCTTTCCCCAAAAAATCTCTAAATCCTCCATTTAGGTTTAGGTGCGTGATGGGTCTTTGCTCGTATTTAAAGTTAAGCACTGGCTTATGAGGTCTATTAGATATTATTTGCTATAGTATTTATTTATTGATTTTTAAATAAATGAAAAAGAGAGCACACATAATTATAGAAGGATCTAGTTGCACTTTTAACCTGAAAAAGAAGAAGCAATAGAAATTTCATAAAGTTCGACTTAACTGTGGCTGTTGGATAGTCTGAGCAAGATTCCCAGCTTGCATGGGGAGTGAGGTTTGCAGTATAAATCCCTAAACCAGATAGACAGGTGTGCAGGAATATTTATAGAGAGACACAACGGGTGCGTCTAGAATGGTATGATTTTCCGCAAATGCTTTTAATGGAAAAGTTTTTCCGTTAACAGTATTTGCAGAAAAGAGCGTCTAGATTGGCACGGATGCTTTTGCGCAAAAGCCCTTTTTGCAGAAAAGCGTCCGTGCCACTCTAGTTGCGGTGTTGTGGAAGAAAGCCCCGATCGCCATTTTTGCCATCAGGGCTATTTTGCGCAAAACAGTTTTTAGCTGTCTACACTGGCCCTCTTGCGCAAAAGGGCTTTTTCCCGATCGGGAGCAGCATATTATTTGCGCAAGAACACTGACAATCTTATATTAGATTGTCAGTGGTCTTGCACAAATTCAAGTGGCCAGTGTAGACAGCTGGCAAGTTTCTCCACGAAAGCAATCGCTTTTGTGTAAAAACTTACGAGTCTAGACACAGCTTACCATTCTGATTTTATTCAGTGGTATGATTCTAAATTAACGTAGTTAACGTCTGTGCAGTCAGACTAGATTTCATTAATTCAAAAAACGTTTGCAACCCGTGTTTTCATGGAGATAACTTTGTCATCAGTTCATAGTAAAACAATTTTGAACGAAATCACAATCAAGGAGCGATGATGAATTTTTTAGTTGGAGAATAAAATGGATACAATCAGTTTCTTCAAGGCAGCTTTGATCTCCTTGTTCCTCATGCTGTAGATGACCGGATTCAGCATGGGAGGCACCACGGCGTAGAGAACACCCACCAGGAGATCTAGATTTGATGCTGAGCTGGAGGTGGGTTTCAGGTATTCAAATAAGCCAGTAGAAAGGAACAAAGAGACCACAGCAAGGTGGGGGAGGCAGGTGGAGAAGGCTTTGTGCCGGCCCTGCTCAGAAGGGATTCTTACCACTGCTTTGAAGATCTGAACGTACGACACAATGATAAAAGCAAAGCATGTTAAACCTAATACGATATTCAAATCTAAAAAGGCACTGACGGCAAGAAGCCCAAGTTCACTGAGATAGGAGTCGGAGCAGGCCAGCTTGAGGAGCTGGGGGATTTCACAGAAGAACTGGTTGAGGACATTGGATTGGCAGAAGGGTAACCTGAAGGTGCTCTCAGTGTGCAGGGCAGAGTAGACCATACCAGTGATCCAGGCACTTGTGGCCATGTGGACACAAGCTCTCCCGTTCATCACTCTCTCATAGTGCAGCGGATGGCAGATGGCGACGTATCGGTCGTAGGCCATGATGGTGAGAAGGGCAAGATCAATTGAACTGAAGACAGCAAAAAGAAAGATCCAGTGACGGAGATGGAGCCGAGGTCTAAGACAGACAGGTTCCCCAGGAAGAAGTACAAGGGGGTGTGCAGACGGTGGTCACAGACTATGGCTATGATGATGAGAAGATTCCCCATAAAGGTAGCCAGGTAAAGCACCAGAAACACCACAAAGTGCAAAACCTGCAGCTCCCGGATATCTGAGAACCTCGGTTGGACATTTTCTTCCTCAGTTCACAGGGTGGTGGCTGTGGAGGGAAGGGCCCAGATGGGTGGGGATTAGAGTGATACATGGAATGGCCCGATTCCCTGTGGAAATCTCTCATGCTATGGGGGCATGTGTAGACTGCATCCTCTGTTGGCAGAGGGATGTAGATGAGCAGGTCAACATTGTAAATGAGGCAGGGATTTAAATATCCCGTGCCTAATTTGCATAAAAATGGCCCCCTCATTTTGTCGACTCAGCTAGACTGCATCCTCTGTCGGCAGAGGGATTCACATGAGGCAGGTCAACATTGCAAATGAGGCAGGGATTTAAATATCCCGTGCCTAATTTGCATTAAAATGGCCCCCGTGTTTTGAAGTCTCAGCTCTTTTTCGGGAAAAAGCAGCAGTCTAGAGGGGGATCTGTGGAGAAAGAAAGCCTTTTTCGAGAGATCCCTTATGCCTCCTGGGAGAAGAACTCCTGCTTTTTGCCCGCAAAATGTGGCGGCCATTTTTATGCAAATTAGACATGGGATATTTAAATCCCTGCCTCATTTGCAATGTTGACCTGCCTCATGTGAATCCCTCTGCCGACAGAGGGATGTAGTCTAGACATACCCTGGGTGTCCAGCATGCCCAGCGCCATCCTAGCTATTCACTGGAGTTGGTGAGTTACCGCATGGGTGTCAATCTGCCTGGCTGTGGAGCTGTGTCCATTTGCACCATCTGAAGATTGGGATCAGGATGGGGCTGGATAAAATGCCGTGTGAAGAACAGAGCAAAGCTCAATCCCAACGCCGCAGCTGTAGCCAAGACAAATCCCCTCTGGCTACGAGCTGCAGGCTGTGGACACGGGCATGAAACTAAAATGCCTGAAAATGGTGGCATCATGATCCCACTGCAGCACCGCATAGACATCCTGCTGCCTCCTCAGTGATTTATGACCCCAAATGCCATTTCCCACGCCGAGTAACTCTGCCCCCTCTGCTGTGTCATTGCCTAGGCCACGTCCGGCTTGTGCGCACCAGTAGCTTTTGGGAGACGTAGATTCTATTCTTGGCTCTGTCACTCACTGGGGTTATCTTGGGCTTGTCACTTGCCTTCCCGGTGCTTCTGTTTCCCCTGCTCTCCCTTTCTCTGCTTTGTCTGCTGGAACTGCTGGCTGTCTGGCTGACTCTGCTATGTGCATGTTCCATGCTCCTCTTTGCAGCAGTTGTAATTAGCCGGCAGCAGGAGAGGGTGTATAATGCTAGAGCCAAATATCTACGTTCTGAACTCATTGACCTACTCTGTGTGTTTCGGCAGTGTTAAGAGAGGCTTTGGCTAGGGGCTTCAATTCATGTTCCCCATCTAGGGCATTTCTCCATTTAATACCAGCGTTGTGGGCTGCCATCTCTGCTCCTTGCCCTGTCTTAATGTTTGATAAGTATCCCTTGGAAAGAAACATTGCACTGATTGCGTAAGAGCACCTGGGATCCAATCTTACGATTAATGGACAACTTGACAGTCCGGGATAATCTGACATTTTCCATTTCAATTATATCAGAGAAATACTGGGGTTTCATCTCAAAAACTCTTCTAGTGAAGACTATTACCAGTGACCTACAACCCCGTGTACTCAAAAGCTCACAACCTTTGTTTTCCTTAATTTCCCTGGGAATGTTTCACTTTCCAGCGGTTTATTTGGGAATGTCTCATTCTTAATGAATGGAAGCAAGTGTTTGCTATTCACAGTGTCTAGGCACAGTTGACTTTTTTCTGGTGGGAGGAAAAGAGCAAACCTCCATGCAGCTGGAAATGTGTCAGTACATTTCTATAAAAAGTCATGAAAAGTTCCCTTGTCACTCCCAGTTGCATTCGGAAATCTACCCAGGACATTCCCACCGAACCCAGTTGGACTTAAACAACAGACTTACCGTGCCAGGTGTTGAGGGATGTTTCCCAGCCTGTGTTACACCAGACACTTCACTGCCGGGATTCTGCCCTCACTGCCTGTCTGTGTGAATAACGACTCCGCACTGGGTTGTTCAGCGGCTGGTTCCCTGCCCATCCATTGGATTTTCCAATCTGAGGCCGGCTGAAGGGTTAAACAGGATGGGGGCAGGACGCACCTCCCCCGCAGCTGTGGAACTGCTCCCAGCTTGTTCAGGCTGCAAACGTGGTCACGACGTAGGATGTCCCTGCGCTGGGGCTGAGGAGCTGACCCCGGTCTCCAGGCCTGTGAGCTCGGATCTCACCTCCGGAGCGACCGTCCTGTCGCCCTGCCCTAGATGAGCTCGACCCTCAAAAGGGGAACAGGAGGTGCCCAGATCTCTCACCATGGCAGCATCCCTGGAAGGACCCTGGCTACGCACAAGGCAGAGCTGAGGAGCCGTGGGAAGGAGACTACGGCACAAGCTGGATTTCATTAACAGAGCCCTGTGAGAGACAGCAGCCCAGAGCTGAGACGCACCAGAGCCCCAGCTGTCCTGGAGCAGCCTGGTCCTCCGTTAACCCCTGTGACAGGGTCGGTCCCACCCCTGGCTGCCGGACCCCAGTTCAGTCCACAATGGGCTGTCTAGTCCACACGCTGCAACACAGGTTTTGCTCGCCCCTGTCAGCGTTTTGTGGGGGGGCTGTCCCTTTGCAAATATGGCTGTCAGGACAGATGCGTCCAGTCAGCCTGGGCTGGGGTACCAGTCCTCCCCAGCTACCCGCTGCCCTCTCTGGCTGCTTGGGGGAAGGGAGCCCTAATACTCCCTGTTGGACCCCTCCCCTTCCTCCTCCTCCGACAATGCAGTGGGTGACCCTATCAGCATCTCTAACTCTACCCTTATCAGCTGTATCTCCTCTCCGCCTCCTTCACCTCTCCTCCTCCCCCGTCCCCACAGGGAATTCTGTTAATGGGGTCCCGATGGCCCTTATTTGCTTTAGAGCCACCCTGTTTCTGCTGCCCCTAATTATCCGGGGCCGTTGCTATTTTCAAGAGCCTCTTTTCCCCCCTTCTAATCCAGCCCTCTCACCTGCCCAGTCACACCTCACCCGCTCCCCTCTGGCAGAGCGGACATGTTTTGTCTTCTATGTTGCAGTAGCAGCTCTTGGGATGCAGCCACCAGGAGATCCCACAGCTCTGGCTGGTCCGGGTGTTGGATGTTGGGTGCAGGCGGTGGGAAACTCAATGGAACTCCCTAAACCAGCGTTTCCCAAACTATGGCCCACTACCGGGCCGTGGAAAAAAAATACCGGCCCTCAGCGTGGTTGGTGGCTGCCGGGAGGGGAGCAGAGCAGGGCAGAGCGGAGCAGGCTGGGAGGAGGTGGCAGGGGGGAACTGGCCACCAGAAAGCAGGGTTGGGGGCAGCGAGGCTGTCTGGCGGAGATCCGGGCAGGCGGGTGGCAGAAGCAGGGTTGGGATAGTGGGGCTGTCCGGCAGAGATCCAGGCAGGCGGGCGGGTGGCAGAAGCAGGGTTAGGGGTAGTGGGGCTGTCCGGCGGAGATCTGGGCAGGTGGTGGAAGCAGGGTTAGGGGTAGCGGGGCTGTCCAGCAGAGATCTGGGCAGGTGGTGGAAGCAGGGTTAGGGGTAGCGGGGCTGTCCAGCAGAGATCTGGGCAGGTGGTGGAAGCAGGGTTAGGGGTAGCGGGGCTGTCCAGCAGAGATCTGGGCAGGTGGTGGAAGCAGGGTTAGGGGTAGCGGGGCTGTCCAGCAGAGATCTGGGCAGGTGGTGGAAGCAGGGTTAGGGGTAGCGGGGCTGTCCAGCAGAGATCTGGGCAGGTGGTGGAAGCAGGGTTAGGGGTAGCGGGGCTGTCCAGCAGAGATCTGGGCAGGTGGTGGAAGCAGGGTTAGGGGTAGCGGGGCTGTCCAGCAGAGGCAGCTAAGGACTGATACACCTAATAATAATAAAACTTACCAAATTAGAAAATACCTGGCATTTTATATGTCTGGTATTTTCTCAATTTGTTTACTGGACAAAATCCTCAAATTCCGGACTGTCTGGTACAAAATTGGACACTTGGGAACCCTACCCTTCCTTGCACCCTCCCTCCTAGCCAGATACCCCCAATCTGCTCCTGCCCCCGCCTCCTGGAGTGCCCATGCGGTGCTGGGTCCCCCAAGCCCTGGCCCAGGCTGGGTGGAGATTGCAGCCGGGTGAAACACTGAAAATTTATTCATTTTTCATTCTTTTTTTACGTGTGTTCATATTTTTGGGCTGCAAAAAACAGAACTGAAAAAAAAACAAAACGGGTTCCAACTAAAGTAAAATGTTTGGGAAACCCTGGTCTAGCCAACCTTATATCCATCTTACAGTCCATTTCTCCAATCCATATTCCCTTAACTTGCTGGCAAGAATATTGTGGGTGACTGTATCAAAAGCTTTGCTAATGCTGGCACTGGGGGCTTTGGGAAGACCAGAAACAACTTATTTGAATATTCATCCTTTCTTAATGAATATGCAAATGAACGGTACAGGTTCTCCAAAAGCTCATGAATGGATTTACTGGTCCCTATGTCAAAAAGTTTGGGAACCTCCTGCCCTAAACGGACATCACTTTATGCAGGCCTAAAATTCTGAGTAATTCGGACTTGTCAAGTGGAGATTCGGCCCTTTGATTCCATGAGATCCAGCTGGAGATCAGTCGCATTCTTCAGTATGCTCTTCCTGTGAAACTGAACCAGAGAGGAGAGAAAAGTTCCCAGGCTGTCGGCACTCTCTCACTTCTGCGCCGCATGGGATTCATTGCAGAGTGTAACTTACAATGGCTAAGGAGCAATTTATTCTTGCTGGGGTCCAAA